GGGGGACAAGCAGCTCAAGAGGAACGGGGTTCACCTGTTAACTTGGAACCTGATAAGGATCAAGCATCTGCTGTTCTTTTCGGATAAGGACGAACATTTCGGAGGACCAGTGTGGAAGTTTCGCACGTTAAAGATCCATTGGAAGTTCTAAAATCGAAAAGAATACACCCCTCTTGCCGCTGTCCGCGCAACGTTCAAAATCAATCAGAAATAATTAAGAAGTTGTTCACTTTTTGGAGAATCCGGCGTATCACTGATTGAAGAATTATTGTATTGCTATTATCATAATTATTTTATATTGAGCATATAAATTGGGACATAATAAAGCTAATACACGTGGTCTGTATTCTTTGCATTACATGTCTGTTCATAATGGTGGATGCCATCTAATTTATAAGGGGTGATCTAGGACATCCCCCCTACCCCCCCCTCCCCAAGAAAAAGCAAACAAACAAAACTGCCACTTCTCCTCCCAGACTTTATCGAAACCTCCAGTTGAGAAGACATGGGAATGAGGCTATAGGATGCTTACATATTAAAGGCACGTGAACATATTACATGAACATTCCATTCCGCGTGCTATATTTTTCATACTGTCTCTCCATTTGTTCGCCAGGCAGTCCCTTTCGCAACCTTGTTTTGTCTCTTTCCCTCACTAATCATCACATCTTTTCTTTTACTCAGCACCATGGACGGCAAAATGCATTGTACATGCAAATCAATGCAGTTATCAAAATATTTTCAGTTAAGTAAAAATGTACATGTATTTACATCGTTTGGAGCAATATGTCCACAAAGATTCAATGGAATACCTCATCATCCACACTCACGCATACAATGGGTTGCATTAAAAATAACCAGGTTTTCTCTGACGTGATACTTTTCAGTAATTGTCCACGCTAAAATAAAATAGAATTAAAAAAAAAAGAATTAAAAAAAAAAGACTGATCAAATTCACCCTAAGATAGATACCACTTTTAGCACCGGACATACATTTAAACCCGAAGCAATATTTTTTCGCTACATAAAGACCTAATTCTACTACATAGAGTCTTATAGTTCTAAGGGTACCAATACAGAGAATACAATCATTCTATAGTTCTAACACAAGATGTACTAGTACTAGTTGCAGAAGAGCTCTATTCCCTAAAGGGAACTAGTCTCTACTAAACTAAAGACATTGACAACATACTACAGTTTTGTACCAGCTGCTTCTGATGCGAAGACTACACTGCTCTCAACACGAGGTGTAAGCAGAAAATAATACAAGGAAACAGTTCTTCCTCTAACACAAAAGACCTCTAATTTGGCATGGGGGCTAATCATATAAACAATTTGGAGACATTTGTGAATGGTGCAGAATAATTAAACCATAATTGTAATATAATGGCTTTGAGGTAAACAGTTTGATACGGATAGGATTATTTGTTCCTTCTGGTGACGAAAGAAAAGAGGAAGAAACAGTAAGAAGGATGCTATTGTTGTGGACTCAAAGTCAAAGGAACACTATATAAATAGTCGGAAAACGTGCAATATTTTGTTTATCAATGCTCTCTCTCTCTCTCTCTCTCTCTCTCTCTCTCTCTCTCTCTCTCGCCATCACAAAATAATACTATATACAGGCGTTTCTCGTAAATTTGTTCAACGTCCAACTCATTCATCTTCATACGGGTACTTTCACACCATCTGCGGAACTGCTGTGAGGTCACGTCCTCTTCTGCTGTCTCGTCTGCAAGCGTGTTTGAGGAAATTCCCGATGACTGAGAGTGCCCTGCTGGGCGAGCGTGGACGTCTGTCGGAGTTGGAAGGCTTCAGTCTGGACATGTTCTTCTCCACCTCTCGCTCGTGGACTGGGGTCAGCTGATATTTGATCTTGCACAGGATGCCGACTAACAGCTCGTCAAGGTTTACGTTGAGAGCGGTGGAAGTTTCGATGAAATGGCAGTCGTTGCTGTGAGCGAACTGCATGGCTTCTGGAAAAGAAGAAAAAAACAGAACATACTTATTAGTGAGCCAATTCTGGATACAAGCAAACGCAGAGCAGGCAGAATAATAACGAGCTATGAACTTATTTTGTCCGCAGCTTCGAATTAATTGTTTTCATATTCTGCTAGTGATTACTTTGCTTGCTCTTGAACACCTTGTCTTGCTTTAATTATCTCTCTATCTGTGTGTCTCTGTGTGTATCTCTACACGTCTCGGTCTTCATCTTCCTTTCTCAATCGCGTCCCCCTGGCGTGAGCACAAGCTCAAATTTCGCGCTTATCTCTCCCTTTTCGCTTACTCACTCACTGACTCACTGACGAGCTGACTACGGGCGCTGATTCGACCTCTCACACTCACTCACACCAACACATACACACACACTCGCGCGCGCACTCGCCCACAAGGCATTCCAACTCAACCGCCTTCTTTCAATCAATACATATAATATATCATTATGTCTTCTCTATTTTTAAGATAGCAATAAATGATTCCGCTTACCATAACAATGATATAGAGCACGGCGGCCTTCAATTCGAACAAAGGAATCAGATAACAGCTCACGAAGAAAAGTGATTTCAAGTTGCGCGTATTACTTTCGTAATTTAGTTTCTGTTTCTATATATGTAATCTCATCCTACTCTCTCGACCCCGCCCGCCC